ATGTTGCTATTTATATTTATATTTATATTGTTACTTTTTCTTTGTAAATTGGCTCAGCCGTTGAAATGAATAAATAAATAAATAAATAAATATGGGACACTAAACGGCGTCGCTGAAATCTCTTGCTTTACCACCCATACGTTCACCGTTCTCCACTTTTTCCAACAGCAGTTAGGCAAGAAATTACAGATAAGCTCGCCGTGCCTACAATTTCCTCAGGAAGGTGTACGAGGTGTGTTCAAAGAGTAAGGTGAGTTTTGCAATTCGGCGGGCTACGTATATTCGATCTTCGATATTTTTTCTGTTATGTTGGTGCATGTGCCCCTAAACATATGTTCACAGTTTCAGCCAGTGTGCAAATTAATTTTTTTTGTGAGACAGAAACGTTAGACGTGTTTTGAGTGCTCGGCGGTTTTCTGCCGTCGAAACCAAAGCACAGTCATCCCAATGGAACAACCCAGAATCGCTATGACCCAAAAAAGCACGTCAAGTTCGATCAAATGTCAAGGTTTTACTTACTGATTTCTTTGATTATCGTGACGTAGTACATCGAGACTCCTTACCACACGGTCGTACGATCAATAAAGAGTATTACATTGAAGTTATGCGCCGTTTGCGAGAAGTAATACGAAGAAAATAACCGGAGTTGAGGGAAAACAATTCATGGATTTTGCATCAAGAATATATCACGAAACCCATCAGAGGAAGGGCGTTTGGAACGAATGAAGACAAAGAAAAAAGTGTATTATATCTGGGGGGATTATTATAAATACTTTTTGATAAAATTTGAAAGTCACCTTACCTTTTGAACACACCTCGTATATTGTACGTACTTTAGTAGTAGTAGTAGAAGTAGAATTTACAAATGTACAAAATGTATTGGGAACTATGGAGAGATGGGTCGAGCTCATATGATAAGCAATAAATAGAAAAGAGAAAAAGAAAGATCTAAACAAAAAAATAAATAGTTTTTAATTGGCGAATGTAAAATAAATAAATAAAAATGAGCCGCTTTGGACATTTCCTTGATATTACTGCACGGCTTTTTGACATTGGTGAATTCAGATAGTCATGTCAGTCAATGTTTTGCAAAAATTTACCCAAAAAAGTGTTGTATGCAATACGTTTGGTGAAGTTTCCAAGTGTTTATTAAGCACTCGCTCCGTTGCGCTTCGTTTATATAATGTAATATATACTCTGCAAAAATCCAATATGGCTGCCGTAAGAGAAAACAAAGTTGATGATTGTTTGAGAAAAAACAAACGGCGTAAGGGATTTTTGACCTGGCCATAAGATGAAGCCTAAAAAGTTTCAATGAAAGTATTTGCAGAAATAACTTGAATTTCGAAACAGCACCCTAATTTAAATCACCCTGTACCTCTTACAGTTACCGAAAACCTAGTGGTGAGAGTCGAATTTGAAACACCCGGTATATTCATAATATAATATACGATTTTATACTTCCTACTATAAAATTCTATAAGCTATCAGATAATATAGTGAAACAGTAAAGACGATGAGGGCGACTATTCCACTAATTTATATATTACATTATTTTGTTTATAATTTATCCACACTTAACACCTTTTTTCAGAATATTTAACGAGATCTGGGCATCGCTAAATAAAGCATTCTACTCCTTTCTAGTACATTACTGGTTTCTTTTTAGCAAAACTAAAATTTACTAAAATAAACTTCTTCATTCGCTTGTTCTACCAAACTTGTATAAAACACTATTTCTGATACAAATGTAGCTAAATAAAGCATTCTATTCTTTTCAAGTACCCATCTGGTGTCTATTTAATAAACTAACCAAAAGAAAAATTAACTAAAATTAACTTCTTCAGTCCCTCGTTCACCGAACTTCTATAAAATTCTAGTTCTGATATAAATGTAGCTAAATTAAACATACTATTCTATTTTAGTACCTAACTGGTATCTTTTTACCATACTGACCAAAACTAGAATTAACGCCTTCAGTCACTCATTCACTGAACTTTTATAAAATACTATTTCTGATACAAATGCATACTTCTATTCTATTAACTAAATCTTCTGACCTTACCATTTAATTTTTTTTATATTAAATTTCATTAAAATTTTATAGCATCCATTTCAGAGCAGTTTATCGTATTATCACTATTGTTTTAAGCCGATTTGGCTCGAGTTTGAAAATTTTCATAAATGAAGCAAACTCTATGTAGATTATAGGACAACATTGTACCAAATGTCTTTTCTAAATGCCATTTCCATTCCAAACTCGAAAATCCGATATACAGATTCGATGTAAATGGTCCAGTTCCGGCAAAATAAAAAAAAAACAAAACAACTTAGAGGGCGCTATTTTCCATTACATTGGGTTCCGAAATATCGCATTCGAAACAACCCTGACTGATTTAACGATGGATATCCCTTACGAATCTCGGACGTAATAAGAGAAATAAATCCATCACGGTGAAATGTATACGCACGCGAGCAAATAACACTATCGGGGCTCACCGTATTCGACCAGGTTGCATTGTTAAGATTCTCCCCTGTTTCCATTACAGCTGTGTACCTCGTGCTTTTGCTTAATTACCCACGAGGCGGCCGTCATTTCTGCGTTTATTTGCGCTCGAGGAAGGGGGAGCCCTGGTGTTTTCGCGCGCTGTCGGGCACCATAACAAAGAATCGGACGCGGGCCGCAAATCGATTATTGAATATTTTACCGCCAACCGCGGTCGCCTGTGATCGGTTTGACCCTACGAACAACGCCCATCGAGGTGTTTGATTTATGACTTTACCCGTTTTGGGATTTGGAATTACGGAAAATTATTCGTTAGACGATTCTACACAGCGGGATTGGCGAATGAAATAGTGTACATGTACACCGTGTGCCAAATAAAACTATCCAATATATGATTTGGAAACCCGTAGGTGATGCGACAATAAGTTTCGTACAAAAGTTTCTTGGACTCTCTGAAGATTTAAAACATTATAATTTTGTTGATACAGGGTGTCCCGAAAGTGTCCCTTCCGACATCAACTTTGTTATTTTAAATGGAACGCTTTGTATATATCGCCATTTTTGGAATCCTAAGAAATCCCGATCCGAATTTTGCATAGTTTAGGCAGAAATTGATTTTGATTTTGATTGCCTCATATAATACTAATCCAGGTATTGCAACGAAAATTTAACCACAGACTAAGGGGATGATGCACTACTCAATCAGTTTGACAGATGCGTCTCGGCTTGTACTGAGTGTCCCAAGTAGGTGGTGCCGTTTTGGCGAATTTATTTAACAAAATCTCAAGAATATAAAATGAAACACCTTATATTTGAACATCCATTTATCAAAATAAATAAGAACTAAAAATTCAGATTTTTCACGAAATTATATATTTTTAGATGACAATTGTTTCGACAACACCGTGTCTTTATAAAACATTTGATAAAGACACGGTGTTGTCGAAACAATTGTCATGTCAAAATATATAATTTCGTGAAAATCTGAACTTTTAGTTCTTATTTATTTTGAATTCTTCTTGAATTTAGAGCTGCCCGCATTAGGTCACTTGTTGGCAATATTCTTAACTACTTCTTTTAAAGATGTAATACTCCAGATATACGAATAAAACCTATTGCTAATACTAATAATTAATACGTGGAGATTTTGAGGAAAATCGACTCTATGCTACTTTAACAGATTTAATAAAATTTCAAAATTCATATTTAAAGAAACATTTAATAGTTAATTAATTAAATTAATTAAATTAATTTAAAATTAATTTAAAATTAAATTTAAAATTAAATTAATTAATAAAAACAACTATAACTTATTTAAAAGACAAATATAATATATACTAACAAAAAACTAGACAACTATGAACTTTTTCAATAGAAATATGAAAAACAACAAAAACAAACAGAAATGTAAAAGTTTGTTTATACCTTAATGCGTCAAAAAAAATTTGTGATGTCATAGCCAACCACATTTTTAAATATTTTGATATTGCTGTGTTGTTTTGGTGCCAGATAAGACGAACGTAACTAAACTCTATGAACCAAAATGACGAACACTTTTTAGTCAACTTTTCTTTGTAGATTTATTTATTGAAATTTCTTACCTTTTTTAGTTAGCTTATAAACTTTAAATATTTACTTTTGTTATTAGGTATTTTCAATCAACCAAAACTAACCAAAACTATCAAATTTTTTTCCAAATTTTCACGTTTCAATGAGGCCTTGTATTGTTAGCAATAGGCTTTACCCGTATATCTGGAGTATTATATCTTTAAAAGATGTAGGATCATCTCCTTGCTATTTAAAAAATAACTAATATGGTCAACAAGTGACCTAATGTGGGCAGCTTTGAAGTTGTTCTTTAACTGTAACTTTTTTCTATTACCATTTATCACATTCGAATTTAATATTGCGAGAAAATTTATATTGAAAACATACGTCGCTCTGAAATAGTAAAATAGGTTGTGGCGGAAAGCACTTAAAATAAAACACAAAACGGCTGTCAATTCGTGTTTCGTCATTTGTAATTTGGAATTATTAATATAATTCATACAATTTAAAAATTTAGTTTGCGAAAGAATATGATGGTCAATTTCCAAGCATGTCAGCTTATTAGGTTCAACGGGAAGAATGCAGATGTGATGGATAGGGCAACGAAATGAGACACTCGCCGTTTACAATTGACGACGTCTTGCATCTCTTCTCCGCCACTTGCAATCCGCTGAAGCAACCCTTCCAGTAGCCGTCCATTTTTCATCATTCCGATGAACTGTCCTACATACAGCTGAGCAACGACTTATTTCATTTCTCTAAATCCATTTGCCTTCGTGACTGATACGGAAAGCCCCCGGCTTGATTGTGATTAATATGGCTTAAATTCAGATTTGGTGTTGCTGCTACGGCGTCGAGCGATTCGGAGTTTTGGAAAAAAGTCTGTGCGCAGCGTTGCCGCGGTTAAAATTTGGAACTGGCGTTTCGGTTCATTGTTTTTAAGACCTTATTTTTCTGAAGTCTGAGGAGTCCACCATGAAACACAATCTGATTAGTTGAGGGTTTTTCTTTATAATATTATGTTTAAGTAAAAAATCTTCATTTATAGATATTATTATAAAACAAATGTCGTAATAAAGGTATATTTTTTAGATCGAGTTGTTGATTGTTGAATCCATAAACAAACATTATTTTAGGTCTACAGAATATTATGAGAACTCTTTCCGCGTAAATATATACGTCGATTCAGTGACCTTTGGGAAAAATCGGCACAATATTGTAACTCAGTTTTCAAGGAGTACAGCCCCAAGTATTTGTAAAAAAAACTTGTCCCTTTACCTTTACTTTCACAGAGAGAAGTAATAATCCAAGTGCTCTATTGGCAAATATGTGTTAGTTTTATTATTTACCCATTAGCACCACTTGTCCATTTTCTGCCACTAAAAAGAAAAATCACATTTTCAGTATTTCGACCCCAATTCACGACTCACACTTAACCGTCGTTTATAATAACATTGCCTGGTTGCCTGTAGTAAGGATTTTGTATTATTTGTCGTTAACAAAGGTCTATCATATTCCCTGGGTCACTCATTAGTTAAACTGTAGCATTTACTTGTTGCGAAACGACAAATAGTTCATGTCCTATTGACAGCCGTACCATATATTTGTAATAAAATAACTATAAGATGACATGTGTTCCATTAAAAAAACGAACAAATTTAGTTTAGCCATCATATTATTCATCAATTCGAATTGCATGCAGCGGTATGTCTGTGATGCTCAGTTACGCATGAACTTTGATTTTGCTTTAAAAATAAATTGTTCCGCAGTTATGTTCTTGAACACAACAAAGGCTGAACATTTTTTTTTGAAAAAGCTTCCACAGACTACTGTAATACTATTTTTCTACTCCCGTCTGTAAAATATCTAATTACCCACCAACCTAGCGTGCGGGAAGCGTCACTTTACCACGTCAGTTTCGTTTTCCATGAATCCCAGACACTTCGGATATTTCCGGGATTTTATCGCACGGATTTGGGAGCAATTAGATGTTTTCGGAGATATTTCCCACGCTTTGAATTTTGACGTTTGTCAATTCTGACGGTCATGTCAGTGAATGTATTCGTGTTGTTTTGCGAAAATGTACCAAAAAACTAACGGCCGTAGAAAACGTATTGTATACAAAACGTTCGGTAAACTTTTTAACTCACTCGTTTATTAAAAACTGTTAAGTTCAAAATGTCAAATGTCAGCTATTCCCGTGGTAAATAAAGACAGAAATATCGTATCTCTTTGGCTCGACTTTTCAGTTAAAAAAGTCTGAAAATTGGTTCATTAAGAAACTTATATAAGAGCAGAACTATTACGTGTATGTGTGTCTTATTCTTCAGTCTAAGAAAAGATTGAAAAGAATTAAAAATTCGTATATTCGCTTCAATTTTAACCTTAAACCAAGGGACTGTTTGAGGCATAACATGCAAGAATTGAAATGGTTAAATATGCACGATAGATTAAAGCCACATTCATAAAATACTTAGATGTCAGTCTTAGATGATACTCATAGACATGAAATTCACAGGTCCCAAGCTGCTTAACTCAAAGAGACTTCCACAGGCTACTGTGGCTACTACAAATCTTCCTTCGGTTGCCGCTTTTTGAACTTTATATGTGAAAAATTTAAAACGAGATTTGAAGATTCTCTGAGATTTGTTTTTTTTTTTTGGTTTTTGATTGATTTTCTGTTGTTTCGGTTTGGAAGTGTAAATTCCTGTCCCTGAACTGAGTGATTTTAAAGTTTGGTTAGTAGCATATGGGATTGGTTAAGCAAACAGCTATTCTAATATTTGTGAGTATCAGAAGAACTTTGATTACGCCACGATATCCTACGCAAAAAATATTCAAAATTTTCAAAATCTAATTCAGATTCAAGAAATCCAAAATAGCTATGACGTTTCTATTCGTTTCATTTCATAAAAAAGTAACCTTGCCTCACAAAAGCCGTTTTACTAATAAGGAAGGTGGTATGTTGTAAAACCATCACTAATAGGATACGCTGTACAGTCTAGTGTAGGGAATGCGCGAAAGACATCCACTGAAATAGCACGGTCGATTTGGCATTGAATTTTTGCGGTGACTCTGTAAACGCTCAAAAAAAACCATATTCACTTGGACGCACTGGCACGGCTGGTGCTCTAACGAGAGAGTTGAGCGGAAACTGAAATGATAGCTGCAATTAATACCGGGGCGTTAGAGGGCGAACCCGGTTTCACGGTTGGAATCGGATGCCTCAGGGTGAAGCAATCTTTCGAGAAAAGGGGTCTCGAGGATGAAAGCGTATATGCTAAGTCAGCCGGCGATAGCCGTCAACGGTAGTTGGCAGTGCCGGGATCTGTTGTAACGCGGACATCTTTTATAATCGAATATATGCTGGACTTGACGTTTTGTGTAATTCTCGACTATACAGGGGCAATTGTCTAGTTCTGGTGATTTCTTAATGGAGTAAGATCACGCCAAGTGGACCCCCCATTTACCACTTGATGATAAAAAATTAATCTATATATATTTTTTAATATAATATAATAAATACTTTTTCATCTGAAACGAGGCTGCATTCTAGTGAAAAATTTTCCAATGGTTTGTAATAATGAAATTGGCGAGTATTTTTTATTGTAGTCAAGCATTCGAATCGTGGTTGGTATTTTTTTTAAAAAGAACTTTGGACCACTGAAAAAAGGAAAGTGGGGTTGTTATGTGGTTGTTTTGGAGACTAGCACGATAAGCTTGTCTTTTTACACTCTCCGCTAAGCCACCACACGCTACTTTGCCCTTAGATGTAGCGGAAAAGTGCAATCAGCATCAACACCAAAATCATTTTTATGATTAACAAAATTGTCAAAATTATATTTAAATAATGATTAAAACTAATTTTTTAATCACATAATTTCATAATTCACTCGGCCCATTTTAAATCACAGAAAATATTATTATTACAATTAAAAATTATAGTACTAAAATATTAACTAAAAAAACACAACTCAACAACACTTCAACTTTTATTTTTAATAATTATTTCATGCTTTGCGTATAAACTTATATCACGAATAGACAGGAATGACTTCTAAAAGAATTTTGTTATTTACTAGGATACGTGAAAAACAAATAAAAACGGAGCGGTTTTTCTTTTGTTAACTAAAGATGGAGCGTTGAGTAGTAAATTTAAAAATAATAATTTACTAAATTACCTAGAAAAAATAAATATAGACCATAACAGTTTTAAAAATTTAAGTTTGATTATTTTTTTCTAAATTTACGCTGTTTGGTAAAAAATATTTTAAAAAAATGATAGTATTCTTTATAATATTGTTAAAAAAAATAGCATAAATAATAATAAAATTTGTTCCATAATAATATTTTGTATTATTGTTTTAAATTATCACTGATAAATAAATTCATTTTTTTGAAACTAATGACGAGCAGAGAAATTTTCTTTCTTTTATATGGATAAAGCATGTGACCGACAAAAAAAAACATTTTTTTACCAAGAAGTCAGTTAAATTTTCATTTGTTAGCTTAAAAGGTAGTTAATAATACGAAAATAAACAAATAATTTTAAGTCGGTAATATATTTAATCCATTTTTTAATTAAAAGTGCATAAAATTTTCATTATAAAAAAATATTGTTAAAATCAAAATTAAAAAAAAATATTTTGGAGGATCAATTTTCCATCATCAGTACTTATAAAAAATATATGTAGAATACATTTTTATGATGAATTAGTAAATGGGGGGTCCACTTGACCTCATCTTACTGAATGGTAAGCCGTCAGGACATGAATGATCAGGAATATACGACATTTAAATATTTAATACTGCTCTTCTTCTCATAACTAAATTTACTAGCATTTTAGCAAGCCTCAAGCTGCGACAAAAGATACATTTAACTTTGAAGTTTAATAATTAGAAAAACCGAAATCTTCAGCAGTTAAACCATACGCAGTTCCATACCGCCTTTTTCAAAACTTCCGACCTGAAATATACATATGGCTGAAGCTTATTTTCAGCAGACATTTTGCCACAACGGTTATTCCTCCAAATCTAAAGAAAATTCTCTTTATGGAATAAGTTGTATTTTGCGAGGCCTGAAAGGGAAAATTTAGTAGTCTAGACGCTATTAGATATTTCCTTCAGTCCGATTTCGTCCAGATTATATTTTTGTGCGTTGCTTTCGCGTATTGGGAAAAGTAGCAGGTCTCTCAGACCTTTATTTCTTAAAGTGTCCCCGAAAAATCACGCCCATAAAAATTGACGTTAGGTTAGCAAACACTGACACATGACGCAGTGCATATTAATAAATATTTATCTAGATATAATTAGCCGCTTTCATTTCGGATGTCGTTTGAGGGTCCAGAAGGTCCTTCTGATTAATAAGTATTTTTTCAGATCGGATGCGCTTTGAAAGTTCAGAACTTTCCTTCTTAAGGGTACCCTAAAATTTACGCCCATTTAAATTTAATAATAATTCGTCAGTTTCAGTCCGCAGATTTGTTTGACAGTTTGGCAGTCGGAATAGCAGGGCAGAAAACATTTTTCGGAAATGGAATCCACGACAATGAAGGAAATGAAAATGCATATCATCCGACTTTATGATTGTTGTTTACTATCGCTCAAACGAATTAATGGCAATGAGCATTATCTTGAAAATTACTATTAAATTCCAGGACTAAACTGACGCCGATGGTTCCGATGCGACAATGAAAAATCGTTTCGACTTAAAATGATTGATTGTGTCTATCGGGGCGTATTATCTGAAAGGTTTTTCGACGAATATAACATTATGTCAGTGAGTTAGACAGTTAAAATTACTGTACTCAATTTTTTTGAGCGGCAGTTTGTGGGTTCAGGACTTCGGCCAAATTTTACCCGAACTACATTCATTATTACTATAACAAAACAATGTACAAGGTTTGAACTGAGATGGCTTTTACTTGATGAATTAAATTAGAACAAACAGCTGTTTCGGCAACAGCATGCCTTTATCAAATACAAAATATGACAATAGTCCGACATCTATATGTACAATTAGGTGGTAATAGATTCTTAATTACAGGTGTAGGGTTATAAAAAACTCAAAATTTAACAAACATTTCAATCCAATTGGTAATTAAGTAGTAAATTCGAATATCTTTAATTATTTTTTTTTTTAATAATAATTTTAAAAATTTTTAATAAAATTTAATTTTTTGCTTTGTGTTTCATTATGTAAAAAACTTGTGTATTTTTGAAATTAAATGAATTGCATAGTTAGAAAAGTCCTAATAAACATAGTCAATATTTTTACTTAGAACTGCAGTCTTTTTTCAAATCACTCTAACTCCATTCCTAAACATATAAAATTTACCATAGAGACGAAACTAATTAACTGTATAAACTTTCTGGACTT